GTTGCATTTTTAAGAAGTTCTCAAAAGATGCAGACTCCTGCTTCATTATTTTGCATTCATCCTCATCCCTTTTTCTCTGATCATCCAGGTAGCTCTCTAACAATTTCTCCAACCTGTCAGCCTTAGTCTTTTTCTTTCTTTTCTGAGCCCCAGGTACAGCCAGCCTTGGTTGGCCACTTTCTTCATCCACCTGGGAGCTTGTGGTGGCTGCCTCTTCAATTTTACAGTCAGTGTCACGTTTATCTGCATGATTAAAATGTTACATACACGTTACCACAGTTATACACTGGAATTATACATATTTGCTTATGTATTTATAATAAATTGTGGCAAATAAGCACAAACTGGCAAGATGTAACTGCTCATTTTAAAATGAAACACAATGTCAATATTGAAATAGTTCTGCTCAAGCATTATTAAATAGTATAGTCACCCACTTACCACTTTTTTCTGAGTCCTGAGCCATCTCTGTGGTTTCGGAGTCGCTCTGTGCCAGGGTGGATGGCGGTGGAGTCTCTTCTTGGTAGGACTCCAGCACATGTTGTGTGTGGGCTGCTCGTGGGTCGAGTGCCAAGAACAACATCTAGTTCATCGTACCAAGGAAACTTGTCCTTCACGTCTCCTGAACTGCCACTTTTCCTTAGCATGTCACATACTTTTATGTATTGTTGGCAAAGTTTTTTGACCTTGTTGCGGCACTGTTCAACTGTGCGCTGGAATCCCAACTTCTCCAATTTCAAACAGATTAGCCTGTAAACCTCATTGTTCTTGTGAGTGTTCACAAGTAACTGCGAAATACTTTTGTCTGACCAGACTTGTATGAGAGCCTTTACCTCCTCGTCACTCCACGTCTGACCACGAGCCATTTCCTCTCGCGTTTGTTTTGGTGGTATTTACTCAGAATGCCCTGCGTTGTAGTACACTTCCTGTTGATGTTGTAGTTCCACTTACTGCTGGCGGAGCAGTGCCCGGTCTGTTTGCATTCACACTGCACTCGAACCGCGCTGGAGTTTGCTTCTACCGGACCGAGACCTAGGTTTTAGCCCGGGCCAGAGTTCACCTTTTTGTTCCGTGACAGAGTTTGATGGTGCGTTCACACCTCCCTAAACGAACTGGACTTTCTAGGAAAACGAGCTATAGTTCGATTAAAGCGGACTAAACAGGGCTAGTGTGAATGCACCCTAAAAGCCACTGGGATGTTGTGTTTAGAAAATAAACGTCAAACATCATCATCAAGCCAGGACTCTGCGGTCTACACTCATCTCCAGGCCAGCGGTCACTCTTTCAGGGATGGATGTTCACATCCTGGATAGAGAGGAACGATGGTTTGAGAGAGGAGTAAAGGAGGCCATCTTTGTGAAAAGAAACCGTCCATCATTAAACAGGGGTGGAGCCTCCATGTTCAACTGTCTCCCTCTTACAGCACCTCAGACTGAGGAAGTCTTTCAGAAGAAAGACGAAACGTTTCTACATTTTTTTTGTTTGCTTTTTTTAATGTCCAGAGGACCAGACTTAACTTTTTAAATTATTCTACCTGGATTATTGAGCATGATAACTCAAAAAGACGTTTGGTAGCCGTGCTCGTGCAGCTGACACGTGTGTGTGTGTGTCTCACCTGCTAGTCCACTGAGTCCGTCAGTGAACAGAGAGCGGAACTCGTCGGTCTTTAGACGCATAGTGAAGAGATTCCTAATACAAACTGCTCTGTTAACCACACAAACACTCAGTCTGCACCACATCTGCACGACGCAGCCAACAGACACCCGTTTCTGTCCACAAGTAAGCTAGCTCGCTAAGCACGCGCCTCACGTTTAGTACCTAACTAGAACATAAGTAGTATCGGAGTGCGATAGAAATCATAACTAAAACACCTTCAGAAACATTTTAGAGACGTTTAAAGTTGTTTTATCCCCAAAATATTTGTGTCATATCCCGTCTGAAGCAAAGCAGGAAAAGTTGTAAGCGCGTGCGCTTTCTGACCAATCACGCAACGTTTCGTCACACGTTTGGGGCGGAATTTGTTAGGCGCTTTCAGAGCCCTATAAAGAGAGAGTTGCGACACTCTTTGAACTCGCCAATACGCGGTCACGTGGTTCATGCAGCTCCCAATAGTTCCAAACACAAGTAGGTATCTCTGCAGCCAAATTCGGAAGGCGTATCTGGGCGGTCATATCTGATTGGACTATAGGAAAATGGGCGTATCTGGGCGATCATATCTGATTGGACTATATGAAAATAGGCGTGTCTGGCCGGCCACATCTGATTGGACGATAGAAAAAAAGGCTGAACGATAAAATGCCGTAACCACAGACACATTATGTCTAAAAACAAGGCGTTATTGGCAGATTGTGTTAACCACAGGCATATTATGTCTATGGTGTTAACCGGTTCGACATTAGTGGCGTCTCAGGTTCAACACTGGCGGCGTCTCGGTTCGACATTAGCGGCGTCTCCATAACTTCTTTTTCCGCTTCTCCTAACACAGAACTTCCGGTTACATTTCAAAATAAGAGCAACATAACTGGGTAATGGGGAGGGCTAAATGTTTTTTTTTTTTTTTTTTTTTTTAATACCTAGCCATAACATTAAAAAACAAATTCCATTTTGGTTGTTGAAAAATGTGAACAAAGTTACAATCGATTCATAAAGAAAGAAAAATATTAATGATACTTAAACTGGCCTTGGGACAAAGGATGTTTCCTTTAACTTCACATTTTCTTGTTCAACTTGCAGTCACTACAGATGAGTGATTTGTCAGTTTCTGTAAGATTTCTGCAACTGGAGCAGGTATTTCTGTTTACTGGTTAACTTCCTCAGCTGTCTCACATTTTAAAGGTCAACCCTACTCCATGTTTCAGTAGAAAACAAGCACATTTAGGAGTCAGTACATAACCAGACTTTTGGCCCTCACACCTGTACCCAGTTGCTTATGCTGCATGATGAGATCAGATTTATCCATATTTTAGAAATTACATTTAGCTTATAGTGGACAAAACAATACAAATGAAGACTGTCTGTCTTAAAAAAAACCTCTTGGTTTTACAGTAAGCAGCCTGATTTCAAACGGACATCTTGGCCCAAGGTAAAATAAAAATCTTTTGTGTTCTCAGAAAAGTTGTTTCAGGACCTCCAATAAACTTATGTACACATCAAAGCACACAAGACATCCATCCAGCCATCCATTATCTTTACCCGTTTATTCCATTTTGGGTCACGGGGGTCGCTGGTGCCCATGTCCAGCAATCACTGTGCGAGGGGTGGGGTACACCCTGGACGGGTCGCAAGTCCATCACAGGGCCACATAGAGACAAACAAGACAAACAACCATTCACTCTCTCACTCACACCTAGGGGCAATTTAGAGTTACCAATCAGCCTAACATGCATGTTTTTGGTCTGTGGGAGGAAACCGGACCCACGCATGCACGGAGAACATGCAAACTCCACCCAGAAAGGCCCCTGGACCCGGGTTTGAACCAGGGACCTGCTCACTGAGAGGCAGCAGCTCTACCAGTTGCGCCACCGTGCTGCCCGCACACAAGACAGATTCAGGAATTCTCTTTGTTTTCCAGATTTCACATTTGTTATTACCTTAAAACATACTCAGACAACATTTGATGCATCATTGAATTTTTTAATGTGTTTATTGGGACATCCATTTTTAGAAGTCATCATAGCATCTGTTGGAAACACAGAACATAGTACAGTTAGGGTGTTGCTAGTTGTTACTTAATCCTGGATTGGATTTTAAAGTTAATTTTGATATTTTTTTCACAAGGAAAAAAAAGTTGATTTCCTAAAGTTTAACTATAAATGAAGGAATTTGTACATTCAGGTAATTTAAAATTAAGTAATTTCTCTAACATCCAACCCATTTTAGCCACTGAGCCATACCAAACACCCATAATCTATTCTTGAATGAATTATTGACTATTATTGACTAATTACAGACTTTTTATTGAATAAGTTATTACTCATTATTGAATCATTGACAATTTACACTCATGTTTGTGTTAACTCATGTTGCAACAAGGTCAGCAACTTTTGACTATTACTATGAACTATGTTAAACTTTGGAGGTGATTTATTTTGAAAGTCAACATCTTGGGGTCTTCTAGAGTCAACCTGAAGTGAGAGTGGTTCCTGACATGGCAGAAAGACATAGATATAATTAACAGCTTTTATTTATTTATTTTTCAGCTAATAACAACTTTTATTTATTTGTTTTTCATATTTTTCAGTTATACACAGCTTTTAAATGTTTATTTTTCAAGTATTAAGAACTTTTATTTTCAGCTTTTATTTTGAAAAGGAGCCGAGTGGAGGCTCACTTTACCTCAGTGCGTTACGACAACAACGAGAGAACGGTCGAAACTATCGTGACCTACAATAAACGTACTTCAATAAAATGCATAAGTGAAAACATAACATACTTTATAAGTACAATAAACCATATTTCTTTGTCAAACATCGCAAAGAAACGTTACCTCATCAATAATCCTCGTGACTTTAAGGGTTACCCACAGCCAATCAGTGTTCGCCGCCGACAAACGCCTATTAAATACTGTTAGCCAATCAGTGTTCGCCGCCCATAAACGCCTATTCGCCAGAAACGCCCACTTTTGGTCTGCAGAGAACCCCTTCTCTCCAAACAGCTCATCCTGTCGGTCAGTTTGAGCAGCTGCTGGTGCAACATAACACAAAAATCGACTTTTCTTACTTTACCTGGCGTCTTTCAGTAATTACTGAGCAGTAACAAACTGATTACTTAACTGATTACTGATTATTTCACAGACTATGCATTTCATCAAAGCATTTTTAGAAGCGGCTGATACATTTATCATTAAATTTTGGAAGGAAAGAGACTGCAAACACATATGTTAGAAAAAAAAATGTATATGCAATACAATGATCAATATAGCCATATCAGTGTTTTATAACGCTACACACAATAAAAAAAAAGATCAGAGTAACACCTGTTATAAAGCTGTTTCTGATGTTCTCTGCAGGATAATGCTCCACCTTGTCCTCCATGCAGCCGTTCAGATCTGCTCCAGCTTACCTTAGATCATCTGGATGAATTATTGATTTCTATAGAAGATATTAATTCAACCTTTATTTAAACAGGTTCGTCCCATTGAGCCACGAGGACTCATTTACAAGAGAGACCTGAATATAATTGTTGTTGTTTTTTTTTAATGGCAACCAAGTACCTGATAACTGAGTTGATTGTAGCCTGACAACTATTGTAAAACTGTAATTCATTGATTAAAATGTTCATTTAAATGAAACTGTAAAATCATAACAGATGACAAAATAAGTGTTAATTGTGCAAAAATAAATTTCCAAACAATTTATTATAAAATATGTAAAATGTAAAACAAGCTTTAATAAAGTACTTTTACTGCCATTTACAATCTTTAATAAAGTACTTTTACTGCTATTTATACTGTTTATTAATTACATCATCTCAAGTCAGCAGCACCATCACCATCATCATCATCACAACAACACAAAGTGAGAGCTGTAAATTTAATCTGCACAAACATTTTCAATCAGGGCTCAAAATGTTGAACTGTCAAAGAAATGTGCCAGAAAATAAACTAAAGAGAGAGGACAGTTCACAGAGACACAGTCAGGACGTGTGAGACTTAAGGAGGTTCAACCATTTGTTCATGGACCAGAACCAGATGAGAAGAACAGCAGAACTTCCACTGCATGTTGATCCATTGACCAGTGATCTGACCAGTGATCTGACCAGTGATCACACATGTTGTTCTAAATTAAACTTTGGTAGGAACAGTGTTAAATAAGACGTGTCATATTTTTTATTGAACAATAATCTTTATTCTAACAGTGACGTTGTAATTTCAGAGACTGAGGAAGAAACAGAAATGAGGTGAGTGAGATGAGGGAAAGATGAAAATGTGTCCTCAGAGGACGGGGACATGTCAGGATCTGATGATCCAGGATCAACAGGACCAGGAGGATGGATCAAGAGGCAGTCAGGGAACAGAGATGAACAACCTGAGGGAACAATTAGAACACAAAAAAATACATAAGCAGGACAGAAGAAACTCACAGACAAGAAAATTAACGCAGTCCTGCCAAGAAAAATGTTAATGGAAAATAAATTCTGACATATTTTTACAAAAGATCAGGTGAAGACAACTGGCATGAAGAAGAACTTCCAGCTACATCTCAATGTACCTGTGATAGTTTAATAAGTGTTTTGTTACTGTTCTACAGTTTATTGATGCTGATATATTCTTGGTAATAATTCTTATGTCTTGTTCTGTCTTGAAAGAGTCTCATCTCAACTTGACCCATGATTACCAAACACTAAACTAATAATATAAAACTAATGTAAATGAACAGTCCTGCAGTAAATACTAACTTTGTGAAGGTTATGGTGTTAAAGTAATTTTATTCAAACATCTTGATTAAGCTGTTACTGATTAATAGAAGACAGAAAATGAGATCTTGTACCTTTGTGATACTTTGAATGCAACATTCAGTTCATGAAGTCATTCTCCTCTGGTTTACCTGGAAAACATGAAAAAAATTGACTCATCTTCACAATCACAATTTATGCTGCAGTCTTTGACAAATGATCTATAACTTTAACTAAATTACATCAATCTTGTTGTCATGTTGTCATCATTCTTTGTTAAATCAGGTGTCTCTTGTAAATGAGTCCTCGAGGCTCAATGGGATGTACCTGTTTAAATAAAGGTTGAACGAATCTCTCAGAAAAAAAGGACAAATATTTTCTAGTTGAGTTCAGGTCCTTCTCAAAAAATTAGCATATTGTGATAAAGGTCATTATTTTCCATAATGTAATGATAAAAATGAAAC